AGAATTTGGTTGAATAACGCCCTATCTCAGCTGCCGGTTCAAAAACGCCCTATCTCAGCTTATTTTCAAAGTATTTTCGTTTGAGATAGGGCGTTTTTGAACCGAATTCTGAGATAGGGCGTTCTTCAACAAAATTCTGAGATAGTGTGTTTTTTCAATAAAATTCTGCAATAGGTTGTTTTTCAATAAAATTCTGAAGTAGGGAGTTCTTGAAAAGTTTTCTGAGATAGGGCGTTTTTGTACCGGCTGCCGAGATAGGTCGATCTTCCACTCAGCCATCGATATGTAGGACAGGCGTATAAAAAATTAATAAATGTGAAGTAAATACATATCGTCACCCTTATGCCAGAAGCATGAATGTTCAAATTTACCAATTTTGAGTTATTGGGTTGACTTGATTAACCTTTGGATGTTCTATTTTATACCAAAAGCCAGAATACCATGCGTACATGGAAAGCATATATTTCACAATATTAATTACATGAATGCAGAGTTAAGTCTCGTAAAAAACTTCAAACTATATTTCCCAAAATTTTAATTTTTACACATTCATGTTTCTGGCATGCGGGGAACGATATGTACTTGCCGATTTGTTTTACAAAAATTATTTAAAAATCAGACGTCTCGGTTGCTCAGCAAATCGGCTAATCGTTTCTGCAATTATTTCACATTGATTCTCTAAAACAAAGTTTCGATGTATGCTTAAGATTCAAAAACATAAAGGTAATTTTTATAAGAAATTAAACTGGCAATTTATCAAAACTAGTAGTAACCCCCGAGATTCAGGTGAATGCAGTAAATAAATACTTGCTAAAATTAAAAAAAGCGTGTAATAAAAGGGTATATTCGTAAATAAACTTCAGTATTTAGTTGAAGACTTATTTAAAGAACTTCGTGAAAGACAACAATTAAACTTGTACTGCTAGAGGCTCGATAACCCAGAAATTTGGCGCCGTTTATGGGGAAAGGCATTAAGTATCACACTTTTAATCTAAAGCTTTCTTAACCCTTTCAGTATGAAATTTCAACCACTGATTCTAAAAATTAAAAATTAAATTAAAATATGTGTACCGGCTAATTTTGTATCGTTCATTTCAAAAATCACATAAACAAGTATGTAGAACTTGGGGCTTTGCCGTCATTCACTGTCCTTTATAATGGTCAGTGATATCCTAGGTGTTTAAAAAAGAAAGTGATGCCAACTATTTTTATTTTTTGCTTTCATGAAATATATTTCAAAACTATGAATAACACTGTGCCACAAAAACAAAAAAATTCCAGAACACGCGAAAGAAACTACATACTCACGAAACTAAATCCCAAATATAGTAAAACTGCGTTTTTAGTTTTTCACTCTGACGTCAGGATTTTTTTTCAAAGGACTTTGAAATTTTAATAATTTTTTAAAAAAAGCAGTGCAATGTAGATAACAATATGGGTACCAAATGAAACAGAAAGTTCTGTTGAGTTTAAGAACAGTAAAATTTTTGCTGTATGTAAAATTGTTTGGTTAGCAAGGACGAATAGGTATTGAAAATGTGCTTTTAATAAATTTTATCTTTTCAAGTCAATGTAGTTTGCAGGACGAAATTCGATGATGCGGTCGTATGTACATGTATTAGTCCTCAAACAATAATTTTTTCAAAAATAAATATTGCAAATATTCAAGGATTTTTAAGGACAAAATTTTTGATTTTTTTTTTTATGCGCCAAAACATTTATTCTGTTATAATTCTACAGAATTTTTTCTTATATTTGATACCCTTATCTTTATACTACATTGCACTGAATTTTTTAAAAAAGTTTTGAAATATTCATATTTTTTAATTCCAAGGTCCTTTTAAAAAACGTCAGGCGTCAGAGAGAAAAACTAAGTAAGTGATTCAAATAAATGACCACGTGCTTATTTTTTTTAAACATTCGTAATGTTTTTCAAGCTTTTTTGGTTATTTTTCTATAAAAAATACGGTTCAAGCTTTAACCACATAAATCACAGCTACAAACCTTATACAAAATTTAGGAAAATTCCACAAATTTTCAACTTTTTAATCTGATTCTTTAGACAACTTTTGGGTATGCAATTTTAGTCTAATGAAGTGCAAGTTTCAAATGGCTAGAAAATTTTGTTGATTTCTGAGAATATTTTTGTGGTGACGGATTTTTGCACTTTTTCCATATAAACAGGAATTTCATACGAAACAAAATGAGGGAGACCGTTAGCAACAAAATATCGACGCCCATGCCGAGATATACCTTTGTAATCATAAAGTGGGCGGTGCCACGCTCAACTCCTAGAGTTCTATAGCATTCTTATTTATTGATAGAAAATTGTTGTAACTATTAACTTGGAGTAAGTTAGCATGCTCAGTTATTGAAACATCGGAGTTTTCGTATTTCTGAAATTGACCGTTAGTGATTTGAACAATTTTTACCGAATTGCTTTTACGTACCAAGGTTATTAAGAGAACCCAGTTTGACAGAAATTGATAAATCGGTTACCGAGATACACATATGTGGTCATAAGGGCGCCACGCCCACTATCCAAAAATTTATAATAATCTAATTTTCCGCTAAGTGGTTATTGCAATCATCGATTTTAGGGGAATTAGCTTTAATAGTTACTGATTCATCGCAGTTTAGGTGTTTCTGTAAATTACGGTTATATGGTAGGTGGGCGTGGTTTTTGCCCGATTTCAAAGATTTCCAACAGATTTCTTTGCTAGACCCTAGGAAAGACTCGTACCGAGTTTGGTAAGGATTGATGAAGCGGCTATTAGACACAGCGTTTCATCAAAATAATAATAATTTCTACCAAAATTCTACTTTACATATTAGTTTTCTGCAATTTGCATCCAATGTTTACTGAAATATCGTAGTTTTTGTATTTTTCGAAAATACCTTTATATGGGAAGTGGGCGTGGTTACAGTCCGATTTCGCCCTTTTTCAATACCAGCCTACCTTTGATAAAGGGAAACCTATATACAAAATTTCGTTGAGATTCTCAATCGTCGTTTACACGGACGGACAGACAGACATGGCTTAATCGACTTCTTTATTCATTCTGAACATTTATGTATATATTTGTCTATATCTATCTCGTTTCGTTTTGACTGTTACAAACAACGGTTATGTGAACAAAGTTAATATACCCTTGTGCAACGCAAAAAAACACATGTGTGTAGCGCAGATAATGAGACGAATACAATTGCTTATTGTATCTAATTTTGGTACCACGTTGCTATGTTTTTATAATTTTTCACATTTAGTCTGTTTTTTTAATTTGTATACATATATTTTTTTTGATACGAAGGATATGATCAGGGAACGGATTTTTAGGACCTAAAAACCTATAAAAAAGCCAAATTANTTTGAAACGTTCATATTATCAGGAATAAGGGCGTTTTCCTCGCCCTTTACAATTTTATACACACCCCTTATTGTCTTCAAGCCTACGTTAGCTGAGAAAACGGCTTTGAATTTTTCCAACACCAATTTGGCAAGAGGTCCCTGCGCTTCTATAAGCCGCATGGGCATATGTATATTTTTTAATCTTAAAAAAAAATTGTAAATGCTATAATCACTCTTTTAAAGGTAGAAAAGGCAAAAAAGGGCAAATATCTTAAAAAAGGCAAAAAAAGGCAAATATCTTAAAAAAGGCAAAAAAAGGCAACATCAAATGTGTATACATGGAATCAGGGAAAGCTAAATCGTGGACATTCTTAATCGAATATACTCTATCTCTTTAGCAGAAAAAAAGGCAATTTCCATAAAATCCGTTCCCTGGATATGATCATCCTTTTTCGCTTTATTCTGTATTCGAAGAATTATATGGTTCAATGGAATTGAATTCAATGTTAAATATTTGAATAAATCATTCAGATTTAGAAAGCGTTTTTTAGAAATTTATTTAAGAAAAATAAAACATTTACACCCAAATTCATAAAAAATAAAGATGGCTTTAGCTGCTTTATAAATAGAAAATTTGTATGAAAATGTCACTTTATAGAGCTCTTTAAATCTATTTTATTTTTTGTGAATAGGGCCGATAGATTTTTGTTTGGATTTTCGTTGATTTTTAATTTCCTACCACAAAATAATTGATATCATATAAAATACCTCTTCGAGGTAAATATTTCGAGTGACGAAAGCTGAACTAGAATCAAAAAATTTATTATATCAATTTCGTGCCGAAAATTATACACATTTTTTAACTGCCCTGGAGACTGACGCAAAATAGTTTTATTTATTCGGACCGTTGCAAAGTTCTGTCCACTCTTAGGGCACATTCACACAGAATGCGGAGTCGAGCCGAGCGAAGCTGTTACGAGTTAAGTGAAGTTTTAAAATTGCTGTAGCTATATATATGAAAGTATTCATACAGCAAGCTGTTTCAGACGCGCTTTGGAGCGGAAAGCAAAGCAGTTTTTGATTTTGAATTTCCTATTTAATTTTTGAGCGTCATGACGCTGCTGTACACAAGATATCAAAGTATTCAATCAAAATCAAATTTTACAACTAAAGTTCTGAATAAAATTGAGCATTTTTGCCGCTTTTCATTGACGGTAATTTTTGTGGTATTTTTCCAGCCGAGTCCATCAGAAAAGCTACGCTTCGCTTCATTCAGTGTGAACAGCAGCAGCTTCGCCTTGTTCCACCTTGCTTTGCTCGACGCCGCCGGGCTTTCTGTGTGAACGCACCCTTAGAAACTCAAAATAAAAAAATAAAAACTTTTGCAACGATTCGTATGAATACCACTAGTTAGCGTCAGTTTCCAGGTCAGTTAAAAAAATGCGTATAATTTTCGGTACGTAATTGATATCACAAATTTTGTGTTTCTAGTTCAGCTTTCGTCACTCGAAATATTTTCCTCGAAGAGGTGTTTTATTTGATTATATATTTACTTGTATTACTTATGACTCGTAAGTAACGAGTATTTACTAGTATTACTTAGAATACTACAATAACCATAACTAATAAAAATTCCGATATATTTTTACAGCGTTGGGCGGTGGTTTCCCTTCGTTATTTTAATCCTGTGGGCGCACATCCAAGCGGGCGCATTGGTGAAGACCCTAATGGAGAGCCTAACAATTTAATGCCGTTTATTGCCCAGGTGGCTGTAGGGCGGCGAGATGTTTTACGAATTTACGGATCTGATTTCCCAACAAAAGATGGTACTGGAGTCCGTGACTATATACATATTGTAGACCTTGCTGAAGGCCATCTAAAAGCCTTGGAAAAATTAAGAAATGTTGCCGAAACTGGATTCTTTGCATATAATCTTGGGACTGGTGTTGGATATTCTGTTCTGGAAATGGTACATGCCTTTGAGAAAGCTAGCAAACGTAAAGTAAACTTTGAATTTACTGACCGACGTTCTGGAGATGTCAGTACTTGTTATGCCGATGCGTCGTTAGCGGAAGCTTCTCTTGGGTGGAAAGCTAAACGCGGAATACATGAAATGTGTAAAGACACTTGGCGTTGGCAAAGCAATAATCCCAACGGCTACGCTCCTAAATAATTTTAAATATAGGGTGAATTCCAAAACGTCAAAATACAAAGCATCAGTGTCTTTTATTTCTAAACAGCTAAACAGAAAAGGTCTAACATACGCAACCTAGTTGAAAACTAGCATCTAACCTTGGTTGCGCACATTTCGAATTACAATCTACTGAGGTTTAGAAATAAGAAATACCTGATGCTTTGTATTTTGACGTTTTGGAATGCAGCCATACTTAACCTCATTATGTACATTTGACATGCAAAAATAGGTCAATATACTTTCCACCTCTATCATATCGCACACCTAGATTTAAAGTGGGATCAACTCCCTTACTTACCTCCAATGAATGCAAATATTTGTTTCTTCATGATTATATTCACTAACTAAAAAAATACTGTTATACCTGTTTTTGTATTAAATGCGTTGAATCTGTACGATCCACAAGCAGTTATATTTCCCGAACTGAATTTTGAGTTGGCTCACTTTAGATCTAGGTGTGCGATATACATATGTGTTTTAATGAGAACTACAGGAGTTAAGAAAAGTCAAAAGTAAAATGCAGCGCTGTTTTCAAATCCAAATATCTCGAAAACCATAGCACAGATTCAAATAATTTTGATGTCACTCAATTGGAGATATGAATCCGTTTGATATGCAAATATTATATATATATTGAAATTTTTTAGCAAAAATCCAATCTATGTAAAAAATGGCAAACAATTTTAAAGAAGCACATTTTATTTTAACTGCCTTATCTATTTAATATTTTCAAAAATCGTATAGTTAAATAGCAAATGAATCAAGCTTTCATTTGTTTTACAACATGTTGTCTCCAGTCCTTGCTATGCAGAACGGATTTTTAGGACCTAAAAATCTATAAAAAAAAAGCAAAATAAAAGAACGAAATAGGCTAGAAAAGATAATATAAAATAGCGAAATAGGCAGGAAGAGGCACGGGAAGTCGCAAAAAGGCAAAATGAGGCACTAAAAAAGACAAAAACCGGAAAATAATCAAAAAATACAGTTATTATTCAGTTTCAGCGTTGTGCCAACTTCAGTGTCATTTTTCGTTCTGAATAGTTTCTGTTTGTCCGTCACTACTTATAGCCGTGCTTAATCGTCGTTAGTTTTTAGTTAGGTAAGTCTCATCGGATTATATTCTTTCGTTCAACCAGTGGTTTTTGTTCTGTGCATACATCCGCAAGTAGAAATCAACTGCTCACTTCTTGATTAATTGTTGCTTGGATTCACAGGCAGTGTTGCTACTTGAAAATATTTTTAGGTACCAAAACGCCTACCAAATCAGTTTCCAAACTACCAAAATTTGTTCATCATTAAAACGAGATTTCGCGAGTTTGCGAGGTTTTTAGCTACACAAATTAGCAGTAAAATTTAAAACTGCACGTAATATTGTTTACAGTATTGGTTAATTATTCACACCAATCTTTCAGATTAAACAAAAGAAATGCGGGCCTTTAAATAAAATAATTAATTTATTGCATAAAAAACTTTTGTAAAATAAGTAAATATCTTTGAGATTGATTCAATTCATATAAAAAAAAATTGTTTGTGTGTGAATAAACAGAAGCAGACATTTTATGCATTTCAATAAAAAAATCCAAATTTGATTCAATTTGCATATACTCACCCTTTTTTATTACCAATACACTCACACTTTGCAAATTGCCAATCTTTTTCTGTTTCTCTTTTTCTTTCAAGACAATAGGTAATTTCTCGTTAATTTCAACAGCTAATCGGTCATAGCTTTGGGAAGTGAGTTTTTGTTTGCAGAAAATTGTCTGTTTAATAAAATAAAGAAAAACAAAAAGAAAGATTACACGTGTAAGCAAGGTGAAAGCAGTGTTTTGAACGTGTAAACTTAGATTAAGCAAACAAATTTTAACGTTCAATTTGATTGCATTTTCAAAACAATTTTGCCTGCCAAAAGCTTCATCAAACCAACCAAGCTACCAACGGAGAATGAAGCTAGCAATTTTGGTCCAATTGGACCAAAACGGCAACGCTGTTCGCAGGTAGGTAAAAATCTGTTATTTTCTTTCTCTTTTTTTCTTGAGTTTCCCCTTGTGTTTCATTGTTTATGGGCGTCGCAGGGTTTCTGTCCTGTTTTGTGTATAGTAGCTTGAGTGGTTCGAATCATATATCAGATGCGGTGTTTATTTGTTCATTTATTACATTTCCGACGAACGTCTTTTGTTTGTATATCTTCATATTCCCTAATACTTTTTAGGCGCTGTCCTTTGTGCTGTACATGGGGGACTTTGGCTGTCTTATTTAAAAAAAATATTACTTCTAGTGATCAGGTAGCATGAATTTAATGAAATGTCATAATTTTATGAAAAGTCAAATGGTTAACAACAACAACCAATGCCATTAAGTGGAACTACCTTCTTTTTTGTGTCATGGTAAAACCTTATCTCTTTCATCCCTAATTATCTCTACCTTTTATATCTAAATATCGATATTTTGGTATGAATGAATAAGGTTTGATGTCAGGAGCTTCCGGTGAGCAAATCTCATAGCACAAAAGTCAGTTACTTGGTTTTGCAGAACCTCATACACGGTTTTGTACTTTAAACGGCGATTTATATACAAATGGCAAATCTCCGGATCCGTATGACTCACCTTTAAATTGATTTTATTGTGTGTAAAGCAAAGAGTTTAAAACTGATTTATAAATAGTAAAATGTTTGCAGGAGAACATCAAAAGGGTGCAACAACTATTCACTTGCAAGTTTTTACTAGTTTTGCGTTCAATAACATTTCCTGCTAGTTTTCCCTTCTTCTCAATTTTACGCTCTATTTTGCTTTTACGCTCTGGCTGCAATGTTTTACTGGAGAAGTTACTATACAAACCTAATAACAGGTATTTTCTTCCCAGAGAGTTTTGCTTCACATCGAAATTCGTGCTCCCTCATTTTAATTTTGACGCAGTTAAATGTTGATTCTTTTACTTTTATTTAGCTTTGCTTTTTGTTTTTGCTCAATTTAATTTTTCAAAACAAAAGAAAAAACGTTTGATATGAAGTGAGCCATACAAATCTTGAATCTATTTAATTTAAAGAAATGTTTTTTTGGCTTTTGCAAAAAAAATAAGTCCACTGCAAGGTTTGTTAAAAACAAATACGTGTACATATGTATATTATATATGGGGTAAGGAAATATCCCTTTTCCCTAGAAGTAAACCTTTTATTGTGGGCAACAATGATGTTTTTCAAATAAGGCAGATCGGAATATGCGCTCTCTTGGAAGACAATACCTGTAATTATTGTACCATGGTGGAAACGTACTTTTAGTTCATTGAAAGAAAAATTTCTTCAGTATGTTTATTTCATAGCAGAGCACACACTACTGAGGTTGCCGCAATATGTAGTTGCAGTTGAGTGTAGACACTCAAAAGAATAGTGGAGGAGCGAGCGCCGACGAGCCCTTGCCAAAGCGGGACAGTGGCATAGGTAATGTTCCATGCCTTCGATTCCCTCCTCATCGCGGCAGCTACGATAGTAATCGTTTGACTTAAAATCCATCCCGGCAGCGTGGGTTCCCATAAGGCAATGCCCGGTGAGAACCCAAAATACATATTTATAATTTAAAAAAAAAGGTTTTTGTAAACCATTTGATGGTTCTATTAAGTGTACTTACAAACATAGTTTTTTCTTTTCTATGTGGTAGACATAAAAATACTTATGTACATTAGGTGGCCCGAAATATTAAAAAGTGGGATTAACGTTTGGCCTAGTGCAGGAAAGGTGTGTGTTGGGATCAATAAAAACTGTGTAAAATTAGGAATCTGCACGTTGAGGCCGTTCGTCAGGCCGTTTCTAAGACGTAATTGTTGGGTTCAACAGATGCCATCAGTTTCGTAGCAGATGAGCTAAACAGCTACGTCTTGTGAAAGCGCCCAATATCGTGGCATTTACTACATTCCTAGCAGTTAAACTCGGTTGGCGGTACAAGCGTTGCCCAGCGAAAATTAAAGAAATAATCAGCCTCATTGCGTAAGTCGTAAATTAGGCTAAATTGTACGACTCGACAACATTGCNAAACTAGGCTAAATTGTACGACTCGACAACACTGGCATTGTTTACTGTCGTGCTGAAATAAGTAAATGACGAAAATCGTCGAAAACTATACAGTGCTGCCAAGTTTTTCCGTTTTAATACACTAGTCGAATGGAAATTTTAGGCAATGACGTGCTATTTGCGATACGATTCGACTCTCGAAGAACGACTTGCATACGACACCACTCTCGCAATGAGGGTGAATAGTCATGACAACTCTGTGTTGTGTATGACACTGTATGACGATGGGTACTGTGGTGATACTCAGATGGCGCTGTGACACCACAGGTAGTTGTCCGTACATAGGGCTACATTCACTACGTATTCTTCTACTCAGGGCTGGCATCGAGTCAAACCCAGGGCCAGAAACCTACACCTGCTGTGTATGCCGGAGACGATTGCACCACCACTCCACCTCAGTCAAGTGTAATGCCTGCGAGGGGTGGAGTCACCTCAGAGTCTGCTCGGGACTACGGACACATCGACAGTGGACCACGTCGTACGTGGCCCCCTGTTGCTCAAACAGAGCAGCCTCCACGGCTAACCTCAGTCCGCCCGAGCAGCCTCACACAGTCACCACAACACAACAACATAATAACACCACAGACCATACCACAGCCACGACACACCACATAACACACACAACCGCACCACCACCCACACGCCGCCGCCAACAACTCCTGGTTCCCCCTACAATCTGCACGGTAAGTCAGACCAGGATATTCCGTAATGTGACATCAGTCAAGTGCAACACCTGCCTTGGCTGGTGCCACTTTAGGGCATGCTCAGGTCTGCGTACCACGCGAGATTGGACTGGGAACTTCGAGGGCCCGTGTTGCGCTGCTCGGTCGCAGACTCCAATTGCGACGCCCCCCACCACCACCACAGGGCGGCAATCACCTCAGCAGCGCACACAGCCAACGGCGGCAAGAACATACACATCACTTACACCCCACATCACGACACGTCTCCCGAACCACATGAAGCTCCTTCAATTTAACTGTAACGGGCTACAGAGCAAGATTGAGGAGATAACCGTCTTCATGTGTCGGCATGGTATATTGATAGCTGCGGTCCAAGAGACGAAGTTGCACAGCAATTCAACTCTGTTGAATTGCGCCGGGTACAACGTGCAACCGTCGAGATCGCGAGCGAGTAATGGTGGTGGCTTAGCGTTCATCACGCACCACACCGTGCAGTATCGTCTTATCGAAGCAGACATCGACCGCAGGGATACCACCCTAGAAT